GTGGTAGCCCCAAGTCTCCATTCGTGCATAGGGGTGGTTGCGTCTCGATAGCTATAAGGGTGCGGGAGATATGAGGCTGAAAGTGGTTGAAAGTGGCTTTCTATTTCGAATGTTTTGTTCGAATTTGTTCAAATTAAATTCGAACATAAAATTCGATTATTGGTTCGATTATAGAATGATCGTAAACATTCCAGAAACGTTGAAAATAGTTCGTTTGACTGGACGTGAACAGGAGACATTCAGAAATAGAATCGGGACCAGGAAGTGTTAATATAAAGCAGCATGCAAGATTTACAGGCGGTTTTTTGCACTTTTGCAGGAAATCGAACATATTTTTATGCTCGTAAAAATTCTCTGGAAACGTCTGGAAACGGGAGACCTAATTCTTGCATTTTGTGAAAACGGGTCAGATTGGCTATAATGTAGTTATCTTAATCTTCACTATCGTTACTTTTTGCCTACAAATAAAAACCCAGCGAAGCGGGTCCTTGCAGCTGGATTCTAGATTACTTAGAAAAACAGTCTTTTATATATATATAAAAACTATATTACATACAAATGTACAAAGAAATAAAAACCCAGCGAAGTGGGTCCTTGCAGTTAGTTTATAACTAAAAATATTCTCGAAATTTCATCAAAAAAATGCATTTGTGATAATACCTAAATGAAATTCTTATGCAAGAAACAAAAATTGTACAATTAACATTATTATCATGTCAGCGAAGTGGCAATAAAATATTTACTACGATTTTGCACAACATACCTCTGCGAGAGCGGATTTTTGGCCCTGACAAACATGAAAACCAAACATCGTCACCGACTTCAACTTGGAGATGACTCGAGACTGAAGCCGACCAAAAAGTAACCAGATTTTACAAAGTTGTGCAAAAAAAATCGTGCACATTTGTCACATAAAAATTAAATAACCTTATGTTAGTTTCATTATTATTAGAATTGTATTTTAAAGGTAATAAATGTAAAAAAAACTTATTCTATTTATCGCTAGCTGTCTACTCACAGCTTTGCCCGCATTATATCATGGGAGTAAGATATTTTCTCGCAGTAAAATGTAGCCTATGTCTATCTCCATTATGTAAGCTATCTCTGTGCCAAATTTTATTAAAACCTGTTTAGTGGTTTAGACGTGAAAAGGTGACAGATGGACAGAATTACCTTAGAATTTATAATATTAGTATGGATTAATATGAATTTCTGCTATAAGGGGTATGCGAGTTTGAGCTCTTTCTTGAAGTGGTACGCAGGAAAAATTAATTGGGAACCACTGAATTAGATGAACAATATTTCTTCAAACATAGTCTACTTAATTATAAAAAAACGGTATTGATTAGAAGTGACACAACACTTGTAAAAAACTATAAAATAAAAATAAGCTAATCAGTACTTATCAGTTTGTATTTTTTTTATTAAGCCATGCACTTTTAAAGGTAATTAACTTTCAAAAATATTTTTAAAAGTTCAAACGAAATAATAAAAATAACTTTTAAAGTCAAACTAAAATTAAAAATGAACTTATTTGTATTTCTTAGTGTAACATATAAAATATTTAATCTTTTATTTATTTTTACAGGGTGGGTTAAAGTGTACCTAGGTAACCCCAATGGCGGCACTTCAGACTGTTCATGCTCCTGGCGGACTCCTCCCGGAAGGGAGCTGCCGGCAGGCCGTCCATTGTGTAACGTCACTAATTATTGATTCACGGTAGTTCTTGAACAAAAGAAAAAAAAGGAAACGTCTACTAAAAATGTAGTTAATGTAACCAAACCAACCTACCCGAAGCACTGCCATTGGGGTTACCTAGGTACACTTTTACCACCGGGTGTACTGTGGTGGCATTTCGAATTACACAAAATTATTATTATTTTTTTTTTTTTACACTGACACCTATTTATAGTGCATAAATCAGTTCAGCCTAGGTCAAACTAGTTAAGCCTAAAGTATTTAGGCCAAACTAGATTATCCTAGGCTAAACTAGTATATCCTGGCATGTGTAGGATAAACTAGTTTGGCCTGAAATCGGGTTTGGCCAGTAACATATACAAGTAATCCTTCAAATATGTGGTTAATTGGTCTTACAAATGTACCATACTTATCAAAATTAACAATCAATAGGAATAAAGTAATCAGTGAATTAGGTCATTAATTAATTAAGAATTTATGTGAAATCAGAAATTTTTTTATTTATCAACATTACAGTGAGTAAGAGTTGGGAGAACAGAACTTTTTTACATGGTCATAGTATTAAAAATAGGTAATGAAGAAATTGTTTATTGAAGAATTATTAATTAAAGATTTTAGATGAAACACAGTGTTATTGCATACAAAAACGAAAACAAATTATGGAAAATAACATTAAGGATTGATTAGAGAGAGTTTAGACTAACCACTAAAGTAGTCCAAAAAAAGTCATGAAGTAAAATATTTAAAAAAACCAAGAAAAATATTTGTCATGCATAACCTGCACAATTGCTTCTTTTTTATTAGTGTATAAAGCTGAAAAATTAGAACAAATGTTTAATTAGTGTACTACTGCTAACTAATGGTGAGCAAGAGTTGGGAGAAGAGATGGTTTGGTATTGCTAGCTCTGAGCTCTACCAAATTGAAAACATTGAATTTCTCTGAGAACAGTAGAACAACCTACAATAATTGAAACTGTATATATCAAGGATTACATGTATATGTTACTATAAAACTCTGAAGTCTGGTAACACTAGAAGTTACCAGTAAATCTGTATATTTACTGATGTTGATGAGTAAAAGTCCAAAATTCCTGATAAAATGTCCACATTTTAGGTTTCTACCAAGAGACACTATTAAATGTCCAGATTAGCTCATAAAAAAAGGTATTCATATGTAGTAACCTAATATTTCCATTGTTTTGTAGTCTAATTAAAAATATAAATTAAGAAAATGGAAGTATCCAGCTTTAAAAAGACATAATTTTTAGTAATGACATAAATAATTTATCATACCAAGATACCTATAATGATTTAAAATTTTTTTTAAATATAGTTATTTAATATTTATGGTGTTTCAGTTTATGTTAATGAACATTATCTCTTAACTCCCATTATCTCCAAATGGGAGAGAATGTTTATTAATTAATATAAACACCATGCTAGAAAAACAAAATATTTTTAAAATGTTTGTTTTTATTTTTTATATTTTAATTTTATAGATTTTAAATTTATATACTTAAATTTTTTAATAGCTATAGTTTTTAGCTTCTACAGAGGATAAAAACTACAGTCATACAAATAATAAAAATGTTGGAATCACAACATAGCTCTCAGAATATAATTGTAGATATGCTTTCTCAGTTTCAACTAATGCCAAAATGCTGATCCCTGCAGCTTTGTTTTCTGTTCCAATTGTACTTTCTAGCTGCATTCCACCATTTCCAATGTTTAATATTTTTCTAAATCTTCAGTGTCTACATTGTTCACTATCATGTGGAACAACTGGCAATACCCATTTTCATCAGAACATCAAACATAGATTCATATGGTGAACATTTGATTTCTGATTATATGCTCTATTCTTTATTGTTTGCACAAACTTCAAGCTTTCAAATAATGTTTAAATTTTATTTGTTTTCATCCAAATTGATAACATATTTCTGATGTTCTGGTTTGTATGTTTGACCGATCCCCGAGATTGGCTGTGCCTTGGTTTTCCACGAACTATCTTTATATCAGCCCACTTGCCACATAAACATTGGATAACTTCAATTAATTTCAATTAAAAAGGCAGACAGTATATTTTACAATATAAAAACATAGAAGAGAATAAGTTGCCTTCATTCTTCTGTAATGTCCAATCACCAGGAATGAGTTTTGTTCCTGGTGATTGGACATTACAGAAGAATGAAGGCAACTTATTCTCTTCTATATTTTTATAATGTGGTTACAAAACTCTCTACCATTGTCATAATGAAGTAATTAAGTATAAATACTCAGAAAGAAGGATATTAAGAATATTAATTTATGAAAATAACCAAAAATATCAATATGAACTTCAACACAATTGTCTGGATTGCCTTGTATATCAATTAATCAATCTGACATTGTTAATTCATTTCATTGTGTAGGATGGGTTTTACCACAATATTTTTTTTCAATGTATTTTGTTTCTCTTGACGAGGCTCATATAATCTTAAATAGGTGATAATTGTTTATTGTGAAATCATCACAATGCTGGGCTGCAATTTTTAATCATATTTTTAATTTATTTAATTTAAAATATATGCTCTTCACCTGAAATTAGAAGTGGCTTGCTCCTGTACTTAATGCTTTTCTTTTGACAATAGAGTCATGCCAGTTGTTTATCAGATGCCTTTTGGAAAAATTTTTGAATTGAAAAAACACAACTTCCGGTTTGCATCAGAAGTTCATATATAATTAATTGAGGCCCCTTGCCCCCAAGGTTTTCATATCTGGTCTCGTCTTTCATCTATCTAACTCCATTCTTGAGAACAGACAGATGACAGTGAGAATTTATAGGTGTACAATTTTTTCAAATTGCAGCCCAACAATTGATTCAATAGTCAAAATTCTTATATTTATGATTCGGTTTCATAGCCATCCGAGTTATTCCGTCCTGACCAATAGCAATGTGTGCTTCATGTATCATGTTAAACAATTTATCAAAAGAAACATAGTAAAAAAATTTTTTTTCAGCAGACACTGATGCTATTAGTTTCTCTTCACTGTCAATGTTGAGAACATTATATTTCTTCAAATGTCTATAATGAACAGATTTTTTTACTGGCTTCATTTTTGTTTTTTTTATCTTTCACTTTCACTTAACAGTAAATTATATTTTTCATTAATTAAGTAAGAATTATCATCATCTTATTCATTCATTCAGTTAAAAGTTCCTAAAATATACATATTATATCACTCATTCTGCTGCATTAAAAGTAAGACTTATGTAAACACAAAAAGAATTGTATAATAGACATCACTGCTTATTTCTCGCCAAATTTCATGTTAAATTTATTTTAAGAAGTCAAATAAAAATTATTACGATAATACTTTCATTTTTTTAATTTATATTTTTAAGTAGATTACAAAACAACAGATACGTACGAATACTTTTTTTACCTGACCCGATTGATAAATCCAGATCTTTACCAGTATTCTCTTGGTGAAAATCCAAAATATGAACATTTTTTTGGGGATTTTGGACTTCTACTGGTCAATACCAGTATATGTGTAGATTTACCAGTAATTTCTAACAGTTACTGAATTTTGGACTTTTACAGTAACATATTTATACAGGATTTTTTGTAAGTCACATGCCATAGGAGATTGTGCAGAGAAGCAACATGGTAAAGTGTCTGGGACAAATGTCTTAGTGTACTGGTGTTATTTGCTGTATCATTCAGGTTCACAATATTGTCAAACAGAACTAAATGCACAAAATTCATATACGTGATTGAATCACTTTCAACTAATGTAGGTCCAGCTGCATAGTTTTGTAACTCACAACTAGGTATGTTGTGAGGTTTGAAATTGTTCTATTTAATATGTAAAACATTATTGAGTTTTTATTGTTTTGTGTTTATTTTATTGAAATAAATATTTTGATTTATAAAAAGATATCTAACAATATCTTTTTATAAACCAAGTCTTATTTTTTATACATAAACATTTTAGATGTTCCCTTTTTTTTAAGATGAAGAGGAGCAAATTTCTAAAATATTGTCCTTATTTGGTTTAATTGCAATGCTTTTAGTTTGAACTTTCAAATAAAATTTTGTTTTATATTTATTTTTTATTTTTATATGTGGAATTGTATTACCTGCTGACAATTATAACCATACAAAAAATTTATAATATTAGATATGAATAAGAGAAATTTTTAAGAATTGTTTTATATATATTAAAGAACAAAAACTTTTTGTTCTTTAATATATATAATTTAATGTATAATAAATTATATAGCATCAGTCATAAAAAATTTGTAGTTAAATATTAACCTTTTTTTCTCTGGAAGTGTTCCTGTGTGATATGTTCTCAACGGCAACATTGTGCTAAGAAAAAAATACATTTTATTTGTAGTTTTATTTAAAAATAATTATTTATTTAATTGTGTGATGTAAATGAAATGATTTCCGTATTGAACATCTTTTTAAATGTTTAAGAGATTGGAACACAGCAAAGTTTGAATGATAGAAATCTTCAAATGATAGAACTGTTTGAGCAGTAAACTTCTTGTTCATCATGTGCTGGAAATCATATTTAGGTATTGGCTATTTGAGTAAGAATGCANGTTTGCTCAGTAGCATATTGTGTTGAGCAATATTTCATATTTAGGTATTGGCTATTTGAGTAAGAATGCACTGAACTAAGATGAGTTACAATGAATTTAACCATTATAATTCGTTACATCAATGTGCTACTAAGTATGTTGTACTACCGAGAGATCCAAATTTGAATCTTATCTGGATTTTTGGGGTGTTATTATTCGACCATTCATGCTGAACAGTTCAATTTCAGGTAAAGAGTGAAATTAAGCTAAACCTTACAAGTGGCAATGTGTTGTTGTCTCATGTTGTTAATGTGAGACGACAACACATTTCCACTTGCCTAATTAATCAGTCTTTAAATATTACAATTTGAACTGTAATCAATCTTTGTTTATGTAAATAATACTTTATTTAGATGAAACAATAAAGCTTTTTTTACATTAATTCTTATTTATACATTTTCTATTGTAATATTATAACTAAAGAGTTACAATATTAATTAAATTATAATAATAATAAAGATATAATCATAATGTACCTCATACATTTATTGTTTTTATGTATCAGCTTCAATTATTATGAAAGTTTTTTCTGTATTTAATTCTTTACTGCTATAACATCTGTTTTCTATGATTAATTAATAAATATTTATAAAGCAGTTGTATAGAAATTTGAAAATAATTAATTATCATTTGATGTTAGGATAATGTCAAATGTAATTGATGAATGATAGCAAAATTACTACTTACAATATATTTATATAATTATTTGATGATTACATCTCAAATAGCCTTATTAATATTTTTTTTTCTTGCTGATTGTAGAACTTAAATGGATTCCTATTTTCTATGTAATAGTACAGCTATATCAATTGCACCAATTGTTTCTACTGTACAATATTTATATGTAAATAGTATTATACATTATTATAGCATCACATTATTCAAACTTGAACACTGAAAATGGAATATAAAATCTTACTATGGAATGAGTAAATAAAGGATTAATACTTTTAACGATTTAAAGAAATTATAATCATTAGAAGTATAAATAATATATTACATTTTCTATTATTTTATACATTTTTTTATATATGTTTTTCTGTTTTGGATAAGAGAACAATATATTCTGATAATGTTCAGATGACTAAATTATTTATAATAATAATAATAATATTTTATTTTATAAATTATTTTCAGAAAGACAATACATTAAGAGAAAATTTACAGAAGAAACCAAATACTATTGTTTTAGGAAACGATTGCAAATTCGACTTCCTAGCCAATGATACAAATACCGTTTTACATATTGGTTTTTTAGAGAACGAGGTAAAAATTTATTCGCTAACATTGAAGTATTTACGACTATCAAACTAATATAAATAACTGATTATTTATCTTTAGGTTGACGTTCGACTGTCAGAATATTTGGCCAAATATGACATCGTTGTGACATCGGAGTCGTGTTTAGAAGTGATCAATGTGTTCCTTCAGCGTATCATGTAAAACGAAGCATTTCATTTAGAGACAATGCTTTTGATAGCCATTTCAAATGCTAGTTCTTTAATATTTAGATATGTAAATAGATATACCTTCACTAGGTAAAAGACTTTTTATTTTCCTTACAAATATCAACTATGATACGCAAAAAAAAGAATTTATAAAGATTTCTTTAGATGCAATTTATGTTTTATAAAATTGTTGGATGATTGTTATTAACTATTATTTATATTTTGACTATTTACACAGTGCTACCTAAGACTTCATTGATATAGAGAGATTTATTTATTTTAAATTCAGATGCCGAAAAGACTTAAATGTAACAAATTAGTTTTGGCACTAATCTAAAATTAAAATCTTGCAATGTTTTGTATAAAGAATGAATAGAAAAAAAAACAATCTGATGTAGGAAAAGATGCCAAATTTTTTATTCAAATTTCTAATCATATTGTTACAATACTATCCAAAAACAAAAGTTTCATTTTTGTTTTATACACAATTACTGATGGATATTTAAAATTCCGACAATACTTTTACACATTTTTCAAATGATCATAAAAATAAGCATGAGTTATAACCTTCCAAAATGATATCTGATGATAATATTAACTCACGCTTATCGCAATACAAAATGCAAGATTGCACATTATTTGTGCATTATTAACTGCCACTGTTATATAAGATCAAGACAATTTTAATATAGTTAATTAATTTGCAAATTTTAAAACATAAAGGTGCAAAAGTGACAAAATTTGCTTCCATTGCATTAATGTTGTGTTGTGTTTTTAATAATGTAAATAGTATGAAATTTGAATGTAAGCTTTCTAATGTTTTTTCTCAATGTCATGTTTTATTATTTTGAAAGTTCAAAATAATTGAATTTATAGTATTAATAGAAATTGTCCAAGAGGAATAAAGTCATAAGGTACAGGGAACTATGTAGAAAGTTTATTGTGATTCCCGAGATCCTTGGGAATTATCTTGCTCTGTTGAAAAATTTTAAAGCCATCTATAATATATTAGTTGACTTAATTCTTGACGTAATTCAGATTTCATTAACGTTCGAGTTATAGATTACGATTACGTACAATGGGAAAATTTTCTACATATCTAGACATTGTAAATATTCGGTATATTTGTACAAATATATATTGGGACCAATTGGCTTTTATTCTTGGACAATTTTTATAGTTTAATTCCATTTTACTTTGTTAAAAAAAGAGCAAATAATTCATATTTTGGAAGTGTCGAACGGTGCTTTAACAATCAAGACGTTTGCTCAGTAGCATATTGTGTTGAGCAATATTAGTCAGCTACTTGAATTATTTATTTTTTGCTCATAATTTCTCACTTTAAGATATTAATATATAATTAATAGTTATAATTGATTTATAACTTTGTTAAAACATGCTCCTTAATTTAAATACCTATTTAAAAATGTAAGATGATTTTTTTTTTTGGCTTAAAAAAATATTTTAATGTAAATTCTAATGGTTCATGTAAAAAGTACTATTAGTATAACAACTGATATATTTTATAGAAAATATATTGATGAATATATAAATATAATATGAATTATTAAATATTTTGATAATTCATCAGCCATTAAGTATCGGTGAATATACCAGAGTTAAATATTTTTGCATCATGATGTTCTATAAAAATAGAAAAAAATATCTAATGTAGAGAAATTGTGCATTTTAGAATAAATGTTTAAAATAGCCAAGCTAAATATATAATTATTTAAAATAGGTTTTATAATAGTATTTTTCAGCTAGTCTTGGAAAACAACAGTATTTCTGTTTATCTTTCAAGATAGAGTTTGAGGATGTTCCTGTATAAAAAACTTTTAAGTTTTTCTTTTTTATAATGTGTAGTATAGTAAGAGTTAAATGCTTATATTCTTGAAAGATTTTCTTGTCATTAAATAAATAAATTGAAATTGTTTTGCTGTTGATGTTGTTGTAAATAAATTAATACGCTTCACATTTTTCTTACATTTAATTTGAAATTTTAATTTTACATTCGGATAATTTTCCTAAAATTTTTATATATAAAATATAAAAAGTCTTAAAGCTAATAGGATTGTTGCTCGACTTTCCCCGGTACTCAAACAGGAGATTAGCAAGTCCAATGCTTTCCAATTATAGTAGGATACCAGGCACCGTGTATTACGAGATGATGTGGTTTGTGGTTGGAGTGTACTTTAAAATATAGTCACGATGTAACAGAACAAATGTCGGGACGAGGTCAAATGTCGTTTGCTTGGTCTTTCTAATTACATTATTACTGGTCGGTGACTTATTAATAGGCCAGCGACTGTGCCCTAAGAAACCAAACGGAAATGACCTCAATTGACTTAAGTGTACATTTTACACAAAAAGAATAAACATGTTTTCTGCTCATTTCTATTCAATAGTTTTGTTCTTTCTCGTGTAAATGTCGATAATAGTTACGAGTTTGTTTAGTATATATATTTTTTCCTGTATTTCAACCACTCTCGGCTAACAGTACGTTTCTATATTCAACAATTGACTGAACAATGAGAAATATACGTTTCTAAATGACATTTTCTGTACGTCATTTTACTACATAGGTATGAGAATTTAATTTCCGGAATGCACCTTTTGAAAAATATACACGCGGAACTGTACGCTAGTGATTACTGTCACCTTCACACTCTCAACTTACTCTTCTGTGCATCTATACACTGACTTGAACGGCGTTCACATTTTTGCAATTAGGCCTGGAACTCATTTTCCGGAATACTGTTGAACAGTTGTCTCACATTCTGTTGAGTATTAGTTGTATTAGAAAGTCTTCGTCCTTTCAGCGCAGATTTTGGAATAGCCAGCAAACACAGTGGGCTAAGTCAGGTGAATTGGCAGAATGATGTAATTGGGTATTCGCTTTTTTGTCCAGAAAATGTCTCGCAGTGACTTGGCGCTTATTGTGATGAATGATTCACTTGTCAGACCACAGTTCGGACATTTTCCTTGGAAAAGAGTCTCATAATCTCTGATGTACTTCTAAATAGCGTTGTTGGTTGATTGTCCCTATTCAATAGACTATTCTCTTGTGATTGAGTAAACACACTAGCATTGTCTTAAACTGTGAGCGCGACAAGTGTGCCTTTTTAGGGTTTCATAGCATCTTTATCATATTCCACTTAGTTGTACCGCATTTGACGATTGTCGCACAAAATTTAATATTAATTAATATGTATTTGTAAATTTCAATAACCCATTTTTATGCCAAAGCATACACGCAGATAACTACTACTATCCCAATTCAGGGGCGAATCCACGGAAGTGCGGTGGGTGCGTACGCACTCCCCAAATATTCGATCAAAAAATAAATATTATAAAATCATTATTTTCAATGGTAGGTATAAAGAAATTTTGTCAGAAAAACCAAAAAACGTATAACCTCTTATTATGTAATCTTCCTATTCGAATGCTACTGCCATAGCGCAGGTCCGATAGAAGGAAGGGAGTATTGCGGAAGGAGGTCGAAGTAATTGGACCAAAAGTAGTCGTTGACCTCCTTCAGGAAGAGAAGATTAAAACGCGAAAAATAACATTTGAAGATAAGGTTTATCCCCCAACTGTACAATTAACCTTAGCTTGAGTTAAACAATGTGAACGAGGAAACCTACGTATTGTATGCGACATCAGGAGAAAGACTGACTACAAGGGCTTTGCTGTATGATATGAATGAAAGTAAGTGATGGTATATTGTATAGTACGTGTCTAGATGAGTTGCTGTGGTAAGCATGTATCTCTCCAAAATTGCAATACCTAATGTTCGTGTACCTATCGCAATGAAAAATTAAGTGGATAGGAGTTTGGTCCTCATGCTTTGATCCTCTATGTCCACAAAGTTGAACCTATGCATCTTTTGCTTGAAGTTGCCGTGATCTGTAAGAAGCTGAGTGAGATAAAGCTAGGGGAAAAGTGACGAAGAGTCGGAATTGTGTCAACCCTGGGCATAAAAGTGTAGATGAGTCTGCCGGTAGTGTCGTGGTCCTAGATGTCTTGCCAGGGATTGGTAATTTGTTTTTTTACGTGCATGTCAATGTAAGAAGCAGGAATACAATATAACTGAAAGAGCTAGTGACTGTAGACTTAGCAGCCAATTTAGCAAGACGGTCAGCGATTGCCAGGATATACCGACGAAAGTATATTTCCGGTATCCATACGGGAATTTCATATACACTGTATATGAAAATGCTGACCATCTTGGTCAACAACTACTTTTGGTCGACTGGTCATTGATTCGGAAGGTGGTCCATTCCGGATATGTCGGTTCTCGTTCTTCACCGCCGGGCTACCCCATTGTGGGCCGGCCGAACCCATAATGGCATATTACATTTCCAATTCCAATGCTACATACCGCTGATCCAATAGAAAGAAGGGATGGTTGCGGAAGGGGGTTGAAGTAATTCGAGGAAAAGTAGTCGTTGATCTTCTGGAAGAGAGGATGGTCAATCACTACTAATTAATACTGGTCTACTATCAATATTTGATCAGTGTTTGGTTGTGGGAATCAGTGTGATTTTGGGAAGCGGTGTTGGTGTTATGTGACGCGTGATATGTAAATGAATGGATGCGATGAACAAATTAAATAATGATTCAATTTTGAATGTTATCGTGAGGGATGTCTGTAAGGAACTGTTGTAATGAATATGAAGAAAATATAAAATATTAAATTTATGAAATTCGCGCTAACAGATGCATTAAATAATATATACTTATTTGATGCTGAGTATGCCGTGATGAAGATGATGATAACTCTTGGGCAAAGTCTAGTAATTGCAATTGAACTGATGCAGATATGAAATTTGTGATGCATTTACTGCTATGTATCAACTACTACTGTACCAATTCATGTGCTATCAATCATGTATTTGTACCAGTGTTACGGACTTGTACCGGTCCAATAATCTTATATCCTAATTTACAAATCTTTATACGCACGGTCTCGTATTATTTTATACGAATTTAGCAATTTCTTTATTATATATCTTTTATTTCCAAGTCTACATCTTATTTTCTGCACGTTGTTTTGTATTGTTTATCGTCTTACATCTGTGTCAGTCCTTTATTATGTGGCAGATCGCAGATGTTCGCTCTGAACTGAAGAAACTAATTATCTTTTATAAAAAATCCGAACTGTGAGTAATGTATTCCAATTTATTAATCAAATATAACTACGATCGTAGGATTATTAACGTTTTAATGTAAAGATAAATGCATAGTTCTGAAATTATCTTCATTGTTGTCGATAAGTATTGTTTCTTTAATAATAAGAGTCGAAACAATTGTTGGATTGATTGTTTAATTCTTAACTTTTTTTATATCAAACATTTCGAGATATAAAAATATTATTTTTTGCTTCAAAATAACCGTAATTATGTATTAAGTAACTCAGCGTTAAGATATGTACGGGTACCTTTTGTGGTGTTATTCCTAATTGTGTTACAATGACAATACATTTGTTTTTTTTCTAGCTTGTTGAATTGTGAAGCCAGCAGTAATTTCGCAGTTATGGAAATATTTTAAAAATGTCTCGAGTTATTTAGTCCTAGAATTTTACAACAGAGCTACAATAGAAGCTTTATTTATTAAGCCACAAGATTATGGTAATAAATATAAAAGAGAGGAAACATAGTAAAAAGCTTCGAAAATATTGGCTACTTCTGACAAAATTACTGTGGAAAACATAAAGAGTAAAATAAATTCTTTCGGAGAAAGTTTCACGAGGGAATTAAATAGAGTTAAACAATCTCATTCCTCAGCCGAAAATGTGTATAAGCCTTTTTTTATGGGTTCGGCCAGGCCCACAATGGGATTTATTTGGTTCCTAGTATGCATCCTCCTTGGCAGATCGCTCACGACACGTGAGTGATCTGCCAAGGAGGATGCATACCGGGTAGTCTTTTATGTAAAGCTGGCCCCAATTTAATGTTACGAGAATAAAAATCGTATGAGAAATGTATTCTGATATGAAAATCGTAAGAGAAAGACGACCAGATTAACTATACGTGAACTTTCGATTTGTAACGCAAATTGTGTTATTTCAATTAAAAATTTTTTCCGAACGGAGTTAGATACATAACCTGCACGCAACGCAGACAAGTACTATATTTTACCTGTCTCAGTAAAGGCGTAATGGCGCATCTATTTTGCTCTATATCATTGTCGTAGTAATTCAGTGATTATAATATATTTTTAAAAATTATATCCTTTTTTTTTAAATTATTTCTAATAGATGACGCTACATATAAAGCTCAGTAAAGGCGTAATGGCGCATCTATTTTGCTCTATATCATTGTCGTAGTAATTCAGTGATTATAATATATTTTTAAAAATTATATCCTTTTTTTTTAAATTATTTCTAATAGATGACGCTACATATAAAGCTAGCGATTAAATGTAGACAGAAATTCAATCGATAATATGGGGTGGGATGCATACGACATTATCTAAGGTAGGAGTTTTTGAACGTAACTGCCGAGTTTCGTAGCAATTGGTCGAAAGGCCTAGGAGTGTATAGCAAACAAACAAACATTCTCATTTACATGTATATATAGATAAGCGTGTTCAGAAAATGGTTTTCGAGTACTTGAAGATTTTGTATTGTTACAAGTTAGTATTGTTTCAGAAGCATACTGTATATGCATTAAAAATGTCGATTAACTTCATTTGAAACAATATTACTAAAAGTCCAAACAGTTTCTACTCGTAATTGTTACAAACGAAGGTAGAAGTTACTTTTATGTACAGAACTTTATACGTATTTAAACATATACACAAATGATCTAAATGTAATGTTTTATTCTAAACAAGAATCACTAACAGAATAGGCTATAAAAATGACTTCTATACACTTTATTTAGTTATTATTATTCATTGAATATATTGTTATTAGTCATTACATTTCCGAAACTATTTTAGAACTAAAAATTTTGCCATTAAACAAAGTATTAGTCAAATATCAATTTTTTTTGGCAGAACCGTAGGGTTTCCCCGGAACACAAGTGAGAACCCCTACTCTAGAATGAAAAGTCTTTGTTACTGATCTTTACAAACCTTTATAAAATTGGTAAAAATAAAATAAACAGCCCTAAATTGTAAGGATGAAGTAGATTATGCTTCGATCAAGTAATTTCTAATTTCCGGATTCGTTTAATCAATTAATTCTATTACAGTATACCCCTATAACACTGTACATAATTCCGTGTTGTACGAGTCACTTAGATTTTACAAATAAGTGTGCCGGGCTGTGCACGGCTCACGTATTTGTAAAATCTAAGTGACTCGTACAACACGGAATTCATATAACACGGAATTATCTACAGTGTTATAGGGGAGGTATACTGTACAATAGTTACTAATCTCATTAGGTCCTATGTAAAACGCGGTTGTTAAAATGAAAAATGACATAATAAAAAATAATGTTTTTATTTTGTTTCTTCTGTAATATATTTTTCATCAAATTGAAGTAACGATTATGATAAACTTACTACAGAAATATTACAATTTATTTATCGCCCACAATGGCGGCATCTCAGTTTTGCATATTTTTATTTATAATTCAATTTATGATTTAAGTTTGTCGATTCTATTTCGATCTTTGTGACGAGTTGCATCAATCATTTACGTTATTTTCATCTTTATCAAAACAAGATGTTGGCAACATTCCCTCGCTTCAACGTGAATGGTTTTACCGTAAAATCCGCTTTAATTTTGAATAAACTCTATTATTTTATATTTCCTGTACTCGAAATGGTAAGCGATTATGGCAAAAGATTCTTATTTACGGGCGTAGATCCATAAGGGATAGAGGGAACATAAAGGAGAGGAACAACCCCAATATTATTGTTCTGACAAATTGTCCTATTTCCAAGATATATAACCAATGTATTTTTATTTATACTATACTACAAAAATTAGAAGTAGAAAAGAATACACTGTACACAATAGGTAGGTTATACCTTATTTTTTATATCTACTCATAATCTGACAATGAAAAATTTTTCTTGCTCATTGTTCTCTCCATCCTGAATTTTAA